GGGAGAACTATCACTTGGCGTTACAGGACTCAAGGAAAAAGTAAATTGCAAATGCACAAGAAGTCCTTGGCAAAGGATTTGAGAGGTCAGTTCATTTGTCTTATGCGACCAAGCTGAAAGTGGGCCGGGCGATCATTAAAAAGAGCTTCTCACCACCCCCACTCCCCGACCGTTTACTCGCAGGATAGTTCTTCTCCTTTTTGTATATTTTTTGATTAAGGAGTCAAGAAAGCAGTTTACAGTAAGTTTACCGTGTTCGCTTAAGCTATCAATAAGAAATATTGGATATGAGAGAGTTTGCTCTAACAGAATAGATCGCTGTGCTATACCAGGTTACTTAGTTACCAGTGGTTGAATTTCTGAGGTATTTGTATTTCAGTTGTTTCTTAACTTGTTACATTTTTCTTCTACGTTTAATTATTTTAAATGTAGTTTTTGAGAGTACATTACGATTGGCCATCATCACGCAGACTGATGTTTAAAGTTAAGTATATAGTTTTTTTTTAATGGACATTGTTGTTTCAAATTGATTTTGTTGCTGTTACAGATTTGCCAGATGGAGTAAAAATTCAAGCTGCCGCCGACCTCATAGTTCACGTCAAAAAAATGAAAGGTATGAAAGTAGAGTTAATAATCCACACGGAATATTCACAAGAATGAACTTAGAGCAATCCAGTACATATATAACTTGAACATAGCTCATGGCTTATTAACGGGCGCTGATTGATTATAACCTTCCCAGCCTTGCAGTCGAACGCGGGCTCTCTCGCACAGATGGCCGCAGACTAACCATCTTTGCAAATCCTTGCTGCCTAATGTAGAGTTTACTTGAGTCGCAAGCTAAGATTATCCTTCACGATACTCCTGGCGAGCAATCCCGAGTTTCAAGAATTTGCTCTCAGAACGTGGCAATAAGCAAATAGAGCCTCTTCCCTCCACACGTATCCGGATATTTTTGAAAACGGAGATTTTTTTCTCCGTTTTCAAAGAAAGTACGCATCATAATATGTAGCGTATTCGAATCGTATTCGCCCGTCTACACGAAAACGCTAAAACGATGTAAATACGATATTATCCCTTACCGAGCATGCGTCATGCTAAAAGTATATGATGCATGATGTCATCTTTTTCGAGAACCTTCGTTTTCGTCCGTCCGCACGTAAACGAAAAGCCGGCGTTTTCAAAAATCTCTACGCTGGAGAGCGTTTTTGAAAAGACCCGTTTTCACCGGATACGTTTGGACGATAGGCCAAACCGGAGAAAAAATATCGTTTTCAAACAAAAACAGATACGTCTGGACGGGGCCTTGTCAATCAGATACTTCTCGCAGTATTATAATTTTGATCTTCAAACGGTTTTGTTGATTCTCCACAGTTAGGGAAAAAAATAGAGAGATTCTGGTGTGGTGTTATCAAAGTGAAGGACTGAACAAGTTTCATCATTTGGAGGTAGTCGTCATGTTGGAAGTGAGAAAAAAGGAGGAGATTTTTCCTGAAGAGGTTTTAAGGGTTTACAGAGGGATTTTACACCTGGCATCAAAATTAGGTAAGTTTAAATAGGTAAAACAACAACTTTGCACGTGCATCACGCTTTTTTGTTCATTTCTTTGCCGTCACTGCACAGCTACGACGTAAAAGTGCCTAATTTCAAGCCCCTCGTGCAAACGGACGCAACATTGTTGGCCAACAACTCCCAACATTNCCAGTACATATATAACTTGAACATAGCTCATGGCTTATTAACGGGCGCTGATTGATTATAACCTTCCCAGCCTTGCAGTCGAACGCGGGCTCTCTCGCACAGATGGCCGCAGACTAACCATCTTTGCAAATCCTTGCTGCCTAATGTAGAGTTTACTTGAGTCGCAAGCTAAGATTATCCTTCACGATACTCCTGGCGAGCAATCCCGAGTTTCAAGAATTTGCTCTCAGAACGTGGCAATAAGCAAATAGAGCCTCTTCCCTCCACACGTATCCGGATATTTTTGAAAACGGAGATTTTTTTCTCCGTTTTCAAAGAAAGTACGCATCATAATATGTAGCGTATTCGAATCGTATTCGCCCGTCTACACGAAAACGCTAAAACGATGTAAATACGATATTATCCCTTACCGAGCATGCGTCATGCTAAAAGTATATGATGCATGATGTCATCTTTTTCGAGAACCTTCGTTTTCGTCCGTCCGCACGTAAACGAAAAGCCGGCGTTTTCAAAAATCTCTACGCTGGAGAGCGTTTTTGAAAAGACCCGTTTTCACCGGATACGTTTGGACGATAGGCCAAACCGGAGAAAAAATATCGTTTTCAAACAAAAACAGATACGTCTGGACGGGGCCTTGTCAATCAGATACTTCTCGCAGTATTATAATTTTGATCTTCAAACGGTTTTGTTGATTCTCCACAGTTAGGGAAAAAAATAGAGAGATTCTGGTGTGGTGTTATCAAAGTGAAGGACTGAACAAGTTTCATCATTTGGAGGTAGTCGTCATGTTGGAAGTGAGAAAAAAGGAGGAGATTTTTCCTGAAGAGGTTTTAAGGGTTTACAGAGGGATTTTACACCTGGCATCAAAATTAGGTAAGTTTAAATAGGTAAAACAACAACTTTGCACGTGCATCACGCTTTTTTGTTCATTTCTTTGCCGTCACTGCACAGCTACGACGTAAAAGTGCCTAATTTCAAGCCCCTCGTGCAAACGGACGCAACATTGTTGGCCAACAACTCCCAACATTGTTGGATGTTACATGATGCATCCGTTTGCACACCCTGTTGCATGTTGTTGGATGTTGTTGCGAGTTGTTGCGCAAAGTTTGAAACCGGTCAAACTTTTCAGCCAACAACTCCCAACATTTCTTTTGTTCTGTGATCGCCGAAGCGTAGCGCAACAATGTTGGATCCGTTTGCTCGGTTCGTCCAACATTGTAGGGGACACGCACAATGATTACGCATGGATTACAAAGACCTATGGGTTGTATTCTTCCCACGATGCACTGCAGGTCCATTACTTGTTGAGAGTTGTTGCATCCGTTTGCACACCACTGCCAACCCGCACGCAACAACTCCCAACATTGTTGGCGCAACAATAGGCTGATTTAGCAACAGAACGAGAGCGTTAGTTGACGACGGCGCGCGCAAACTAACAACTGGCTTGACCAATGGCAAAGTTCAGGGCGGAGAAACGTTCTGCGCAAGCTTCTGCGCATCCCTTATCGCAGGCTCAAGGCAGGCTTTTCTGTGTGTTGACTGTGTTTGTTTGTTGCTGGAGTTCCGAGTGAAATACACGAGGTGCGAACGTTTGCTCCCTGTAAAGCATTTTTATTTGACATGTTTGCTTTTTTTTCGTCGCTTGAAAATTACTTTGGGTTCAGAACAACCAATGTTAAAGGAAAAACGGATCATTCCGTCAGTCTGAGGTGGAATAAACGGTTTTGAACATTTCTTAAGAGGCGAGTATTTTTCTGATTGTGCATCCGATTAATTTATGAGTTTATTTCGCCGGGTTGAATTAAACCCACTTGTATTCTGTTATTAGTAGTTACGGTTACTTTTTTTACATGCCCAGATTTATTACCCTTGCAGAACCAGCTTTATCTTTGTCTTCAGTCAAAGAACCATATTGCTGTTATAACGCATCAAACAACAACAAAACTTGTGCGCTTATTAAACTTTCTCGGAAATTAGAAGGCCAACAAACTTACTCAAGATCATTGTTTTTCTGTTGCTCAAGTAATAATAGTCAGAGTTTTTTTCATTTTTCATTACATAGTTTTGTTTTCCAGTGCACTGTGAAAGTTTCTGTTCTTTATAAGAATAACTTTCTGTACGCAAATTGTCCTTTTCATTCGAGGTGAAATAGAGAACGACAACTGCCGGCAGTGACTTCAAAACAATTGACTCTTTTCCTGTAAACAATTGCTGCAGCTTGATTTGACTGAGGCGAGCAAAACAAACCCTTATGTGCAATTTTCTGTATTTTCTAATGATCGGCTGAGTTTAATTTGCTTAAACGAAGACCTTCGCATGGACCAGTTAACCATATTGAAAATAGCTAAATGGTGAATCATGACTTGGCTGCCAAGTTACAACTGATCTTTTGCTTTTAAGATCTTTAGGTAGGTTGTTTTCGCAGAGAAAATTCATTTCTTCATTGTCAGCAAGAAGTTTTTGAAATAAGGTAACTTTAACTTTGTTTGAAGGAAACCCTACTTACCCGTAGGTTTTTGACAGATGTTATGCGTGTTCACAAACTTGACAACACAAAGCAAAATTTATATATCTGCGCGAAACGAGCAAGTTTAGAAAACTATAGTTGCTTTGAAACCGATTTTTGGGAAGATTTTACTTTATAAAGATTGACCTTTTTTCTGCCCGGATATCAACGCAATAACTTCTACATCGAGGATTTTGTTTATATTTTAGTGATCCGCGAAACTACGAGTGTCCGATCGAGCGAGGGTTTAAAATATCAGCTCGAGTGCGACAAAGTTCACTGACTTCAAACACATTGTGGGCAAGCGTTAATTTTTTTGGGCAAATCACTGTCCAAAGATATGCTGTTTTTGTGTCCACAGTGGAGTTCCGGACCTTATATATCCAGGAACTTCCTTATGTGAACACATTTTGTGAATACATCTTGAAAAAAATCGGACCTACGCATGCACATTTCCAGCACAACGCAAGGAAATTAATGTCGTTAAAGTCCGTTTTACTATGAGGTATTCTTCAAGAAAATTAAGTAACGACAAGGTTATAACCACAGCTTGCAACTTTTGAAGACAAATACACCGTATTCACAAATGGCGGACACGCGGGAAAAAACTGGTGCCTAGTCATGAAAGCGAGGCGTTGGAGGATAAACAAAAATTGCAAATGAAGACTTTCAGTGAACTTCCAGAGTGTTTAGCACCGATTCCACCTAAAATAACTTTGTACGGACTTCTTTTTAAATACAGTTACGTGGGATGTCTTCTGCTTTTAATGTTTAGTAATGATTGGCTGTTTGCAATCAAAAGGGACGCGTATATCTGCAAGGAAATAGGATGATTTTGTAGGTTTTCGAGTCGGTTTCCGAAGCATCAGAAGCTCGACAGGTGGACGATGACTGAAGAAAAGCGGCAAACATGTTGGCCCAAACTTCACATTGAAACCGAGTACGAAAGCCAGCTCACTGCAATTCGGTGAAACAGAAATATAAACAAATCTTAGTGGCAAGAAAAAAGAAATAAGCGACAGATACATGGCCTACTTGTTAACGCAAGAGACGTCTGCCGTTGAACAAAACAGTTCAAGTCGAGATGCAAAAAAGGAAGACAGGAAAGAAGAGGTGACTGAGGTTTCGATGAGGTTATGTTTGATTTTTGTTTGCCAGGACGTTATTCTCTGGTCTTTATCAATGAAGGACGTCAATTATAACTATATTTTTTATTATAAATGCAGGAGCGATCGAGTGGAGTACGCTCAAAATTTCAACTTGTTACTCGGCAGACTCGGTAAGCCAGACGCATCATTTCAGCGAGTAATTTCGTATTTCTCATCGTTGGCTGTTAAGAGTTTTAACTTTATGTTCCATTATATTTTAAAGTTGAAGAATACATAAATAAATAAAATGATGGTCTTCTTAAACGGATCCAGACTCGAATTTAATTATTCGAAACAGAAGCTTGCCATGTTCAGTCCTGACACAAACATTGCCTTAGAAGTTTAACCTAGTAAAATGTAAGCTTTATACCACTTTTTTTTACCAAGAGCTCTCTGAGATAATGCCCTAAAGGAGACCAGGCAAATAGCAAGCCATAAGATTCACACACTACAGCTTCTAATTTTGATAAAATTATTTTTAATTATTTCGCAATGACAACGAAATCATGAGATTTTTGCTAAGCTCTGCCAACGTACCTCTAACAATTCGCTCCAAAGCGACAGAATTAATATGATCCAAAGGAAGTTGTAAATACAGACATACATATATACATAGATATGTATAAAATGTCACTAACATGAATGAATGAGCCTCGTGAATGAATCTTTCACCCGCTCTCAGCTTGACCTGTTTTCAGTGGCCATATATCCGTCGCTTATTTCTCTTTTTCTCGCCACCAATATCTGTTTTTATTTCTGTTTTACAGAATTGTAGTGATCTGGCTTTCGTATTCGGTTACAGTGTGAAGCTGGGCCAACATGTTTGCCGCTTTTCTTAAGCCATCGCCCACTTGTCGTGTCCTGCTTCTGATGCTTCTGAAACCTACAAAATCATCCTGTTTCCTTGCAGATATACGCGTCCCTTTTGATTGCAAACAGCAAATCATTACTAAACATTAAAAGCAGAAGACATCCCGCGTAACTGTATTTAAAAAGAAGTCCGTACAAAGTTATTTTAGGTGGAATCCGTGTTAAACACTCTGGAAGTTCACTGAAAGTCTTCATTTGAAATTTTTGTTTATCCTCCAACGCCTCGCTTTCATGACTAGGCACCAGTTTTTTCCCGCGTGTCCGCCATTTGTGAATACGGTGTATTGCTTATTCTTTCCAGGTTATGAGTGGAAGCATTTTATTTTTAGGCAATAAAATATTTGAAATCCCGCCTTTTTTTCAAACCCGGTCAGGGGATCTGGGCAAAAAAGTTCACGCATGCGCATTACGTTTTTCCGCCCTGAAATGGCAGAGAGGCAAATTGGGCATCGGAAGTCGTGTTTAGTCCTTTCCGCGCGCTTTCCCGTCGTCAACTGACGTTCCTGTCCTGTTGCTAAATCAGTCCAATGTTGGGAGTTGTTGCGCCCGTTTGCACGCAGCCTCACGTTTTGTGGAGGACGTGAACCCAAGACAACGACTTTGTTTTTCTTTTCCCAAACTTCAATACAGTCCTTTAGAATTCAGCTGCAGAAAAATTTACCAACATTGGACAAACTGAACACGATGGAGTAAGGGCGAAAAGTTTGAAGCAGCGCGAATTTACTATTTAGCTGACGTTTACGCAGCCGTCGCTGACCTTGCTGCTAAGCTCCCTAAAATGTTTCAGTGTTCTCAACAAGGGGAATCAGATTTTGCAGATGTGTCAGTGTGCAGCGGGCGCAGCGTGCGCTAGTAAATGGTTTCTTCTAAATTGTTGCGGGAATTAATCATGGATACTTTTTTAATAAAAGGGCAATATGCAACTTACGCAAAGAATATTTCATTGACAGACTCTTGTTATCACTTCTGTAAGGGAAAAGTGATGATGTTTTTTCTCAGAAAACTAGATATCTTTACTGTTGGTGGAATTTGTAAGGTTGTTTATTTGTTCATTTTCTGTTTTTTGGCAGGCAATAGTTTCCAGCATGGCAATTACTTGTCAAGCAATGATCAGTTCCTTGATAGCTTAGATGATGCTGGCTTCATTTTTGTTTCAAGTGAAGTCAAGGTGGGCTTTTAGTTACTAAAAATTGCAGAAGTCAGAAAACAACTGCACGGCAGGCGAGCAAACTGTTTCACAAAGGGATAAGCCTTTAACTTGCTGTTTTTGAAACGTAATCAAGACAGGAAACGACACTCTTGAAAGTGTACGCAGTTCGAGAAATTAAAAGTGAAATAAAGATATGGCAACTAAGGACAACAGAGTACAGTTGCTTTGCATTTTCGATGCATTCTTGATGGGGGAAGCGTGGTCATCTCTCCACTATTAAATGGGGAGTTTAGGCTAAGACCTTTGTCACCGACGCACACCGACCGGAAGTGGTTTTTTTTGCAAAATTCGGCAGTAGTTTCGCTTAAATTTCTGGGCAAGTCGTTTCTATAAGAGCAAAGACACTAAGCTTTACGAATTTAGCAGTGTCAAGATAGCTTAAAGAGGAAAACGCCTTACTTCCGGTTGGCTTGCGTCTCTTCTCTGTCTACGCGGTACCTTCATGAGCTTGCGACGAATGGGGAACAAAATCAGGCCATATATCTCTCATGCGTAGTCCATATTCCGTGGTAAGTTTACCAAAGTTCAAACCATTTAAACTATTTGTTTGCCTTACAACAGCCTAAACCTCCCGGCCTGAGGCAAATGCGGGGACCTTTCTTGTATGGACTTCTCGTGAAACGACTTGAATTACAGGCGGCCATGTTTACTCCCAGCAGACTTCTTCTTCGAATGGGATACGATATGAAGAGTAAGGATTTGTTGTTAAATATTTCACTTTCTTTCTTAAAAGTTTTTGTAGGTTATTTTTTCCCTTCTTGCCATTCAGATCATAGCAGTTACAAAGTGCACAATAAACTATCTAATTCTACCCCTTAAAGATCAACGCGTCACGAATGTTATCAACGAAAAAATGTGTCCCTAATGCTACACTTTAACCGCGTAACTATCCGGACAAATAATTTTGAGACGATTTTATAACGGAAAACCGCTCGAACGTTTTTTGTTATCCTGTCCTTTTTAAGCTGTGATTTTTAGGACATACATAATATTGTCCTGGCGTACGATTTCTATCTCCCGAATTTAAGTAGAAGTAGAATTTTCGTCTGGGGCGGAAACATTTTGGGCCACGTTTTTTGCCTGAAAGCTTTTCGCCTAAACATGCTGTTGGTTAAAGTAGACTGGAAAATATTACGTCACTGCTTAGTTACTTTAAACTTTCGTCCATCCTCGCCTAATTTCGCTCTTATTTGTCTCTGTGTTTATTCCTTCAGGTTTCCCTTTCCCGTTGTGGAATTGTCGAGACCGCAAGCCAATATACCTTGGCAATGAAAATCAAGACAGATTCTTCCATACAGTGTTTGCCATGAACAAGTATTTGGTGAGTGTTAGTCTGCGTAGCATGGCGGTTTTGTTGCTCCCGCCCCAATCTCCTCGCGGTTTCTCTGCCCTCGCCCACCTTTATTACTTTGTGCGCCCAACCAAAACCGCCATGTCACGCAGGCTAGGTGAGTGTCGGCTTAGAACCCTTTTGCACCATTTTTGTCACTCAGAGGGTCATTCTATCCACTATATCTTTCATTTATTTAAATGTAAAGTCATATCAAGGCTTAAACTTTCTCAAAGTCCTTCGCTTCTCATTTCCGGTTCCGGTAGTTGGCACAAGCGCTCTCTCGCCCGCTTTTGCCGAAGAAAACATAAAAAATCTACCCTTCGCGGTTCGCGCTCGTGAAAAAATTTGAGCTCGACTTGTAAGCAAGTCTAATCAAAGCTCCCCCTAAAGGTTTCTAGGCTCAGTCTCAAGTCGTGGATGTCTAGAGAATATTGTTTTCGCAGATCTCCACTCTCGCGCTCGAATAATCTGTTAGCGAGATAACAAGGAATCTGAATCTAGGTCACAGAACATAATTCACCAGGATTATCTGAAAGAGCAGATGGGACACGATTTAGCCAATAGAAAACATTTCTTACTTTTTGATCTTCACATTTATTTCCTCGCTTACAGACGTATAAGATGTCTATTAACACAATTCAATGAAGTGAAGGATGATCATCGCAGTTATATACGCAACTTTTGCAGTTGCATAAAGAAAGCCTGAAAGAAATTCAGGCTTGTACGGGATTCGAACCCTTGACCTCTGCGATACCGGTGCAGCGCTCTACCAATTAAGCTAACAAGCCTACTGGGAGCAGGTCGTTGAATTGGTTCGTTATAAACCCGTGAAAGGATGATGATGAAGTTATGAATATATGAAAATCATATATGTGAACTGCGGAGTTAAAAAATGAAATAAAGGATAATCCTCGCAGTTATATACGCAACTTTTGCAGTTGCGAAAAAAAAGTCGGAAAAAAAAGGTCAATGGTTCGAATCCCGCACAAGCCTGAATTTTTTACCACTTTATTTTTGTTCTTTTTCTTTATTTTTTCTATCACTCTTCCTGCCGTAAGGATCAGTTTACTGTTTTGAGTTTAAAATTTAGTGACCTGTAATGCAGTTCGCGTAACGAATGTGACCATTTTAATGGAAAATGAGCTCGTTCTTTCTTGGTTTAATTTAAAAGAGACTTTCTAACGCTAATGATGTTAAGACTAATTGTTATTTCGAACGATTTGACTGCCCTTCATCAGCTTTGAGGGTTTTTCCTATAACTGACGTTGCTATCGTGTGCACAGGTCATGGCCGTCTTTACCAGTTAGCTATATTCTGGATTCTGGATCTCGCTGAAACAATAACTTTGCTTTTGCTATTCTTTCAATTATTGCAGAAAAACAGTGTGCCTGAAGCGATGGTTCCTGGTCTGTGTGTTGTCAAAGAAGATAATAAAGTGGTTTTACAGATTCCAAACAGTGGCCAAACAGCGGTATGTTGGGTAACCACTTTAAAATCTCGAACGGGATTTCTCTTTAAAATGCTTTGCTTTTTTATGCGGTTGTGGCTTGCTTTTGCACGGTTGTTTGCTTTAGATATCTTTTGTAGTTTGAATTATGTATTCTCTCTTGTTTTAATCTCATTATCGTACAGTAAAATAGCAGAAAAGAAGGGGCCCATAATTTAAACCAATACTAAAATTAACTGCAACATATCCATCTTCGGAGATCCAGTGGCAACTTGATTTGGGACGTCATGTTTATGGGATAAATCATTGCAAAGCTTGAAGTGACAAAAAGAATGTATGAGCCTTGAGCGCTAACTCCTATCGAAGCAGTTCCAGATGTATTTGATTCGTTGCTTCTGATTGGTCGAAAAATCCTTTTTTATTATAACTGAGCGATTTTCCGCGCGCTGATTGGTCAAGAACTATGATCGATAAGATTGCAGAACCATGGAAAGGACGCGACGGGTGGCGCAATTTGTTTTCCCTTTCTCGCGCGTGGATTTTCCGAGAAACGTCAACGGAAATGAACCTCAAAAACTGTCAATGTTATCGTAAAAAACAAATCTGCAACACTTGTCACGGTCTATACTCTTATTGACCATAGAAATGACGTCATAATGTTCAAAACTTTGCAGTGAGCCCCTGGTTCCACTTGATTTTTGAACATTTTGACGTCATTTCTTTCTATGGTTGAGGAGAGTACAGACTATGGAAAATTGTTGTCGATTTGTTAACTTGTCAATCAGAGACAACGAGAGACTGATTTGGAGAGGAACGAGAATGTAAAACGTTTTATTTCGTTCTATTTCCTTACATATTTCTTGAAATAAGAATGTTCTCAGTTCTTGGTCATACCTTGCAGGTGGTCAACCTTTTGGATCGTCTTATTAAGAAGGAAAACCAGACAGCCACTGTACCTCTCGTGTCTGATATACCACCGTATGTGGATAATTGCCAGGTCGTTATCTGTAATGAACGTGGAGGCAGATCTATACAGTCTTTTGGAAACCCAGCCTGCGCGTCAGGTAAATACGAGAACTTAACGTCTCTTTTTAGTTAGCTGAGTGGCCCAGATGGACGGGCGGTACGGGAAGACTGGAGAGAGAAAACAGCTTCTAATCTTTTCCCCAATTTCTCATCGGTTGAAAGTATTCTTGCTCGTTCGTTAGCTCCATAAGATCGGCCCAATCTTTACCCTCAAAAGGACAGAGAAGGCGCTGACCATTTGCCATTACGTTTTTGAAGGCAGAAGAGGATCCCTTTACTATTTCGACGCGGACAACTTTGTTAAAACCATGAAGATATGAATTTTGGCTGCTGCAAATGTAAAGGGCACTGTTTCAATTCACGCTCGAATGAAATTTATTTGACGAATTACTGGTCAGTAAATCAATACAAACAACATCGCACCAATCAGGTGCTCCGCTGCTGGATGAATGAAGTTTTTCAAAATCCCCATTCGCCTCTTCAGAAATGAGAAAGGAACTGGGGCCGAAATTGCGTCCGGTACTTGTTTCTGGGATCGTTACTGGGCATGCGCCGGAGTAAGAGTCCCAGAAGTCTTTGCCAACCCTGACATCCCAATTTCCTTCTCGTTTGTAAAGGCGAATTGTTTTTTCTCTCCTTTTTTGTGTTTCTTATGCCGGGGAGCACATCCTACGCAGGCACAAGTTGTGACTAAGAAATGCGCAAGTCTCTTAAAGTTTAATGTATTTGTTTCAGTTCAAGGTCTCGGGTTTCTGATGCTTCATCTTGGGGTGGATGCCTCGTCACCTCTTAGCTTTGGTGGCGAACTTTTAGATGGTAAGTATGTATAGTCCCACAGGCAACCCAAGCTTTCGATAAGATGGCGAACAATTGAGCTGACACGTGCTCTTTGCTGATAGATTACGAAATCGAACAATTTGTAACTTAATATTGGCGGATTCGAACTAACCGAAGATTCTCCTTTTGTCTCTGTTGCATTGTCGTTTTTTCATGGGATTTGGGACTGTCTTTTATGGCGCTTTGGGCTATATGAAATGTTTAGATGCAAATTACTCACCGAAAACTGTTGGTCAGATAAGTGGACTGGAGCTGAGACTCCTTATGTTACAAGTCTAGTACTCTAACTAACCTGCGGAAGGACCGCCTGATCACAAGTTATTCTCTAACCAGAAAACACGCCTTCCTCTACAGATCCTAAATTTATTCAACTCGTTATGCTTCTTTTCTCTCGCTAGACGGAGTATTGGTCTTTTTTTCTAAAGGCCACACACAGAAGCTTCGCCAGAGCTTGGAAGAGAAAACCAACTGTTACTTCTACCTGGGCGATCGATTTGATATTTCACACTTTGAGCTGCGCTGGGTGCAAGATATAAATTATGATGACATGCCTGAAACAGAAATGGACGGCTCATTGACCAACTCACATCCAGCGCCAACAACTTCGGCAGATACACCTGTGAAAGAACCTGGTGCTGATTACTACCCAGGCCTCGCAACCATCGACATCCGGTACTCGGGCTACGGAAGTGAAATTAGTCTTCTAAAGGAAGTGTTTGAAGATCATACAAAGATTCTGCATATTTTGGAAGGAAACATTCGAAGGGCGTGCACCGAGCCTCTTATGAAGCATGAGAGTAANAGAAATGGACGGCTCATTGACCAACTCACATCCAGCGCCAACAACTTCGGCAGATACACCTGTGAAAGAACCTGGTGCTGATTACTACCCAGGCCTCGCAACCATCGACATCCGGTACTCGGGCTACGGAAGTGAAATTAGTCTTCTAAAGGAAGTGTTTGAAGATCATACAAAGATTCTGCATATTTTGGAAGGAAACATTCGAAGGGCGTGCACCGAGCCTCTTATGAAGCATGAGAGTAAGATGAAAGCTGGAGAACATCTGGATCTGCAGCTACGTGTTGTGCTCAAACCAAGTTATAAGGTAGTAAGTAACGCCTGGTATATTCTGAGACAGTAGCTACAATACTCGTCACATTAGTTGGGACAATAGTGGTATTTTCTGCCCGTTCAATGTTGGTTTTTGCGAGTCGCAATGTCAAGCAAAAAAAAACCCTGGGAGGGAAGGAGCACAACTTTTTGTCGGAATATGGGTACAGCACAGGGTGCCCCAACTTAATGTGACGATGATCGTAGATACTGAATTTTGTGGTATTCAATAAAGCGATTCTGGGATGACAATGAAAGAAAATACAGACTGACAAATCAGTTAGTAGCGCGCGAAGGTCATTATCCACCTCACATCGTTCGTTAATCGAATTTGCAAGGCAATGCAAACCGAAGAATCTCGCTTTGGCGACACTTGCCTTTCAATACTGCGATTGAGAGTTGAATAGCGTCTTAAGAATCTCTTCAAAAAAGAAAGAATTGTTTACGTTTATGTGAATCCGCAATATTAAGTTTCAGTCCAGCCTTCGTGATAAAGTTTTTTCTATATCGCTGATAGGTCATTTGTAAAAAAGGCGATTTCCTTTCAAGAAATATCTTTTATTGGGAAAATCATCGCAGTATTTTTGATTCTTTTCCAGTACAATCAAATCCTGCTTTACGGCCAATTTGCTTTGTCCCTGGGGAAAGAAAGCCCTTTCATTTTCTATAAATTCAACCCGCTTAATGCGGACACCCCGTTAATACAGACGCTATCTATGGCCCCTTCAGTGTCCGTTTTAAGGTATCATTCAGGGTAAAAAAATCATAATTTTTCGAAATTTGCAATTTTTAAATGATTAAATAGAGCTAATCAAGAGCTTTCTTTTAAAACAATTCCAGGAAAAAAAATTTTTTTCTGTGCAGACTTTATATGGAGCGCAAAAGTTTTTTCTTTGCTAATTATCTTAATTGATCGTTGACAAGTTCTGCCATACTTGATACTTGTCATACGGAGTGTGACTGTATTATAGACTCTGTTGACTGGATGTCCGTATCAAGCGGGTTTAATCTAGGGAAAATGTAAGGGTTTCTTTCCCCAGGGACAAAACAAACTGTCCGTATTAAGCAGGTGTCTGTAATGCGGGGTTTCACTGTACAGACAAAGAAAGTTTGGTTTTTATGTGAAAGTATGTTTGTAACCCAGCCTGATCGTTTTTTTGTTTGTTTTATTACAGAAATGGTCTATCGGCCCCAATGATCTGCCAACAGCTCTTATCCGCTCTCTTCAAATGGCCCTCTCCACTGTTAAGGTACCAGTAGTGTCCGAGGGAGAGTTGGTGATGAGTTTTGATGTCAGTGTTTTCAAGCAATAGTGTGTTGTCTCGTCTTAGATTTAATTCGCTGTTACAGTGATATGGGAATCCTCGCGTTTTGGGCATTCCCCTTCCCAAAACCCCAGTGATAAGGGCATTCCCTTCTCATATTACCTTAGACTTCTGGGATGGTTCACCTTTTGGCCAATTTGTTTGACCCCTCCCTAGTAACCATCCCAGAAGTCTTTGCGAAAGTTAACTCGGTCCAGTCTTCTTCTCAACTCTGAACTCACGATGATTTTCTGGATGCGTCGAGTTTGGAATAGGGAAATAATACTTCGCTTACGATGCAGCAAGTGCAATTCTATATAACACCTTTCGGCTTGAATGTTTTTTATTCAAAATTCAGACCACATGATGTTCTCAAGGGAACGTGCCTTTGGTCTTTTCATATGTTGGTGATGGTTACGCAACAGGATGGAAGGAAGAAGAGGACAGTAAAACGCTTGTGTGCGACAAAAGTTACATGGCTAATACTTGCGTGCTTTGTCGTTATCTTCACTTGACATTAATGTTTTCTGGTCTTTTACGAAAAGATCTGTTGAAAGGAAAGTGAAGTTTGGCGGAAGTTTTTTTCAAACAAAATTATTGTCACGCTTGTCACACAAGGTTTGCCGTCTTCTTTCCTCTCCCGTCCTGTTGCGTAAATTCACTATTATGCGTTGATAGGACGACATTTGAAAGAAACAGTCCTCTGACCTAACTTTACGTTGTCTGAAGCAGGGAAGCAAAACATATAAGCTCAAAAGGGCCCTTTTTTCGGCCCTTCCCCATACAGCAAGGCTTGTCGCGCAAGATGATGAAGTCTGCGCTTGCGTTATACTTTTTATTAGAAGTTATATAGTGCTGTCCATACCCTTAAAATAAAAAATAAAAAAAATAAAAAAAGATTTACGCTAGGTCAAGTGAGCAAGGGTGACAACCGCTTGGCATTTTAATAGATAAAATAACATCACCTTCAGAGGAGGTAAAGAATAGCTGCCAACGGCGAAGTATAAGTAACGAGAAAAAGACAAAACAAAACAAAACAAAGACAAAAATGAAATTAAAAAATACAATTGCAACATGTTAAAGTATGTTATTTGTAGTACATTTCTCAATATTGAAAGCTGGAAAAAGTTAACAAATTGGAGTAAAAAGATAAGAGTTTCCACCGTGGTTAAAGAAAAGCTTAACTTTGAAAGTAAAGTAAAAATAATTATTTTTTTAAAAAAAGATATTAGATGTCAATCTAGATGTTAAGCAATTAGATGCTAAGCAACACAAAGAAAAATAGCAACCATTTGGTTGTAAACTGCACAGTATTATTTAAACCATCCTTATAAAGGGTGTTGGATATGGAACGTTTTGTAGAGTGTTGTATGATAGTTATTTCCTAGAACAAACTTAGTGTTTTATTTTGGTAGTAATACTAAACTGAAGGCTCTCTTTTTCATAACTTACGAATCCTCGTTTTAATAGTATTCTGTGCACATATTATATCCCATGTGGGAGCTTTGCACAGATTTAGATTTAGATTTAATGACTACCCAACAAACAGTTAAACAAATCGACAGCAATTTTCTGTGGTCTATAATTTTTTCGGCTATAGAAATGACTTCAAAATCAAGTGGAACCACGAACCGCAGGCGAGTGGTTTCACGTCATTTTCACATTTTCACGTCATTTTTATAGTCGATAAGAGTATAAACCATTGAAAATTGTTGTCGACTGATTTGTTTTTTATCGTAACATTAACTGTTTTTGACTTCCATTTTCCGGTGAAGTTTTGTGGAAATCGCGCACGATAGAAAGAGAAAAACAAATTGCGTCACCATCACGTAATTTCCACGGTCTTTTAGACAAGACAAAACATTTATTGCCATAATATTGTTTACGCTAGTCGTGGCGTGCCAAATTAATTCTATTACGAACAAACAGATATTACCTGATGATAAAGTAAAAAGCAAAGAGAAGAGAAAGAATATGTGTAATGAAGTCAAAAGCAAGAAAGACAAAGCTGTTTAATGCAAGTTGTGAAAGAAGCTAAGGTTTAGGATTTCGCGATTTTATTTCTTGCGTTATCATGGTTGCGTCAAGGTGATCACCGACCATAGATCTCGCGCGAAAAATCAATCTGTTGTNAGTTTTGTGGAAATCGCGCACGATAGAAAGAGAAAAACAAATTGCGTCACCATCACGTAATTTCCACGGTCTTTTAGACAAGACAAAACATTTATTGCCATAATATTGTTTACGCTAGTCGTGGCGTGCCAAATTAATTCTATTACGAACAAACAGATATTACCTGATGATAAAGTAAAAAGCAAAGAGAAGAGAAAGAATATGTGTAATGAAGTCAAAAGCAAGAAAGACAAAGCTGTTTAATGCAAGTTGTGAAAGAAGCTAAGGTTTAGGATTTCGCGATTTTATTTCTTGCGTTATCATGGTTGCGTCAAGGTGATCACCGACCATAGATCTCGCGCGAAAAATCAATCTGTTGTTGTAGAAGAACCTCGCCAAGTTAATCAGTTATTTTTTGCACTGTCGTTTCAAATGAACAACTGTTTGTAGCTTACTATTAGAGTAGCCTGAGAAAACAGCCGACATTTGGAGACGCCACCACTGGTTTCCCTGCGAAATGACGCCTGAGAAACCAGCGGAGAAATTCCACACTGATGACGCGTCACTACAAATATCTGGGTAGTGCTTCTGATTGGTCGCTCTGCGTGGGAAATTTGTTTCAGCCAATCAGAATTACTACCCAGATCTGGCTAGTGACACGTCATCAGTATGGAATTTCTGCGCCGGTGCTTAGACGTCATTTTTCGCGGAAGATTAGTGGTAGGGACGCGAAATGTCGGTGGCTTTCTCAGGTTACTATTAGAGCAAAAGTCCTCGACAGGGATTTCACTGATTAGTTTCATGACGAATTTTACGCTCGTTAAACCGTTTGAACTTTTAACCCTATTCAGACCGGGCTTTTTTCGCTTCCTGCGACCCAGGGTGGCTTCAGAGACTCCCCTCTATAGCTTCTAAATCGTTCATGCCACGATCACCAAACTTAGAGAGAGAAAGATGTACTCATCATTTTCATTTTTTGGGCGTAACTTGATTGACACAATGATGTAATCTGACGTCATTATGACGTCATATTGTTAACTTTATTGGCGGAATCCAAATTTCTCTCAAAGTACACATTAAGTGAAAGATACTTATAAATAGTAGGGTGTTTGATAAAATCAAGAAGTTGGCTAATTTGACAAAAGCAGTGATGTCATGATGACGTCATTTATTACACCTTTTGCTGTTCATTACGAGGAACTACGCAATCATTTGCGTGAAACGGCGACCGATAGTGCGAAGATACATTCATTAGCGCGAAAATACGAACATTTGCGCGTAAATCAGATTCAATTACGATTTTTGCATTTTAATCAACACTCAACAGAATTTTGGGGTATTCATTTGCGTCATTCGACATACAAAAGGGAAAAATATACTTTCATTAACACCAACATTCAAATCATTAACATTATCTTGAAAATCATTAGGGACAAAGAACAAACATTTAAGTGCAAACGCTATTCATTAACATTTTTATGACACTGTTTGCAATTTAATAGCATTCCTGAACAGCTTTAGAATGGATAAGACAAACATTAATGCGCTTGCGCAATCAATTGAGCGTTCTTTACATTTAATATACAAAAATATGTTTTCAATTAAACAATACCAATTCCCCCAAAAAATTGGCCTGAATTTGTTTAAAGAATCACGCCGTACTTCGCTACTGTGTGTTTGTCGACGGCTGCGGCTATACATTTACCCTAGACGGCCAGAAGTCATGGTGGGGCGGGACAGGGAGTGGAGGGCGTACTGCTAAGTGTGCGGCCAAAGAGGACGAAACTTGACTATGACCATGGCAATATTACCTATCAAATGTTTTCCTCGGCAGCTGCTGGAGTAATGAATACCGTGTTGGCGAGGAAAAAATGGATCCCGATAAGTCGGCGGTCTTTGCGTATGACGGGGTGCCTGGCAGCCACCTAGCTTTGGCCATTCCCGTTCCATACGTACGCAGCTTATGCTTCCTCCCTCGACATCGTTGAAAAGGATTTAAGTTGTCTGAAAGCGACACCAAAGGCCGACATCTCGAGTCCGGAAATTTAAAGACGCATAACAGGAATGAGGGCAAAGCCCTAGCAATCCTACTAGCGGAGTTCGGAAACAACAACTGCAGTGCTTGAAGCCGTGCGCAGAAACATGACGTTGTGACAGCTGCTAAATGTGCTAAGGGGTACCATTTCATGCAAACCTACCTCCCAAAATGTATTAATAGCCAGATATTTGAGGGATATACATTTAACGGACTGAAATTCAGGCCAAATTTGTTTGAATTTCTATTGTTTAATTGAAAAGCGATTTTTGTATATTAAATGTAAAGAACACTCAATTGATTGTACAAGCACATTAATGTTTGTCTTATCCATCCTAAGGTTGTCCAGGAATGCTAATGAATTGCAAACAGTGTCATAAAAATGTTAATGAATAGTGTTTGCACTTTAATGTATGTCAGTTGTCCCTATTGACTTTCAAGATGGTGTTAATGACTTTGATGTTGGCGTTAATGAAAGTACATTTCTCTCTTTTGTATGCCCAAAGACGCATATGAATGCCCAAAAGTGTTATTGAATGTTGATTAAAATGCAAAGATCGTAATTGAATCTGATATATGCGCAAATGTTCGTATTTTCGCGCTAATGAATGTATCTTCGCACTATTGGTCGCCGTTTCACGGAAATGATTGCGTATTTTCTCGTAATGAACAGCAAAAGGTGTACTAAAAAAGTAACTGGAAACATCTGCCATCTTGGATCTGCCATTTTGAATTATTTAACTGTATTCCATTTTACTTAAAGCCCGCAAAAATCGAGGGATTTTTAATAGAAAACTTGATTTGAATATAAAAGGATGCTTAGGAAGCAAAAAATCAGCAAAATATGCAGTTTCTAGATAAA